TGTTGTGTGTGTGTTTGTGTGTGTGTTTTGTGTGTGTTAATATATATTAAAAATTATATATATATTATTATAATATATATATATATATTTATTTTCCCAACAATGGGGCCGCCCCCACAGAGGCGGGTGACCCAAAAAAAAAAAAAAAATCCCCAAAAAGAAAATGCTTTCATCTCATTCAACACTTTCACCACACCGCACATTATCACTGTTTTTGCAGAGGTCTCGAATACAACAGTCAGAAGCATACACATATAAAGATACAAACATACCCCTCCAAACTGCCAATATCCCAAACCCTCCTTTAAAAGTGCAGATTGTACCCCTTTTCCGGGACTCAAGTCCGACTATATGAAAAAAACCCTTTTTCCCCTAAATTTTTTTTTTTTTTTTTTTTTTTTTCAACAATCGCCGTCTCCCACCGGGCAGGGTGACCAAAAAAGAAAGAAAACCCCAAAAAAAAAATACTTTCATCATCATCCAACACTTTACCACACTCGACATTATCACTTTTTTGCAGGGTGCTCAGAAAACAACAGTCTAAAACATAAAAAATTTAAAATACACAACATATCCCCCCAAAACTCCCAATATCCCAAACCCCTCCTTTAAAGTGCAGGCATTGTATTCCCTTTTCCCGGGACTAAAGCCCGACTATGAAAATAACCTTTTTCCTAACCCTTCACAAAATTTACCCTGCTACACTCCAAAAAGATCGTCGGGCCCCCAATAACATTCGTCTCCATTCACTCCTACTAACACGCTCACGCACGTTCGGAATCCGCCCCTTACCCCAAAACCTCCTTTACCCCCTCTCTCCAACCCTTTGGGGACGCCCCCTACCCCCCCTTCCCTTTCCCTAAGATTTAATGTTTTCCAGTCATTAAAAGTACCATTCTCTCAAAATGCCCAAAACCACCTCAACACCCCTTTTCTGCCCTCTGACTAAATTTTTATTAACTCCCACCTTCTCCTAATTTCCCACTCCAAATTTTCTGCAAAATTTTAACCACACTTCCCCTTAAACAGGCATCCCCGCTCCCTCCAACCGCTCCTCGCTGCTGTTTACCCCCCAAGCTTCCACCCAATAAAGTGTTGGACTACTATAATTCATACTTTCCCTTTTCCCTCCAAATAACGTTTTTTTGACCCCACAAATCCCTCAACCACCACCCCTTTTTCCCTCACAATTCTATGATTACCCATCCTTCAAAATCCATCTGCCGACACATCAATCCCAAGTATCTGAAAACATTCACTTCTTCCTACTCCTCCTCCCCAATTTGATACCCAAATTTTTTCTTTATCTAAATCTTTTGACACCCTCATCCCCTTTACTTTTTTCTATGTTCCTTTCAACTTTCTCCCTTTACACACATTCCAAACTCACCCACTAACCTTTGCAATTTTTCTTTAGAATCCCCATAACACATATTCAGAAAAAAAGAACTGTGTAAATTCCCCATTTTAAAATTTGATTCCCCATAATTTAAATCCCACCCCTCCCCCAAACACCACTTTTACTTCCTTTACCCCCCATCTTAAATAATTAAAAAACCATGGTGACATTACACATCCCTTCAAGACCTATTTTTTACCGGGAAAATTTAGTCTCCCTCTCTTCTACAACCTAACCGCCTCACTATCCTCAAAAACTCTTACACTTTTAAATAATTACCACCATTCCAATACTTGAACATCTGCCACATTGCTCCTCTACCACCTATCATATCCCTTTTCAAATCCATAAATGAAATAAAACTTCCCTATCTTTATTAAATCTGTTCACATATAGCTTCAAGTAAACACCTGATCTCCCCAAACCCCACCCACTCAAAAACCCTCCTTGCTCTCCGCAATCCTTTTTTCTGTCTTACTCTAATTCTTTCAATTATAACCCCCCGTACACTTTTCCGGGTATACTCTAAGCTTATTCCTCAAAATTTTTACATCTCTTTTGTCCCCTTTTCCCTTTATATAAAGGGATATACATGCTCTCGAAAACCCAGGTCCCCCTTCCCCCTTTTTCATACATTTTTTAAACAAAAGTCCCAAACCCACTCCAACACTATACCCCCCCTGTTTTTAACATTTCTGCATGATCCCATCATTCCAGCGCTTTCCCCCCTTTTATTTTTCGTAATGCCTCACGACTCCCCCCCACTTACATTCTCCTTTTTCCTCCAAAAGATGGAACCTTTCCACCAGTGCATGAAATTACTGCCCCTGTTTTTTCTTAACATTTAAAATTCCTCAAAATATTCCGCCATCTTCCCCCAATACCTCCATCCCCATCTACTAACCCCCTCCTGTTTTTAACTGACAAATCCATATTTTTTATTTTTTCTTTGTTTTTTTCCTTTTTTCTTTTTTTTTTTTTTTTTTTATTTTTTTTTTTCCCACTTCTTTTTTTTTTTACCCCCAAAATTCCAAAATTTTCTTTTTCATTTAAAATTTTTTTTTTTACAACCCCCCTTTTTCTTTCATCCCCTCCCTTTTCCTCCTCCCCCACCCTCCCTTAAAAAAACCTTCCCCTTTTAAACCCTCAAAAACCCTTCCCTTTTTTAAACCCCCCCCTTTCCCTTTTTTTCCCCAGCACCTTTTCCTCTTTTATTTACCCAACCCCCCCCTTTTTTTAACATTTCACCCCCTCAGGGGGCCCCTTCCTCTTTCCCACTCCTTTTCCAAAATTGCCAATAAAAATGATTTAAAAATTCCCCTCTTAAACATACCCTGGGGCCCACCCACCTTTTTTCCCCCAAAAAAATCTTAAACACCAACTTTCTCCCTTTTATTTATTTATCCTCTTTTTTCAAAAATTTTTTTTACTTATTTTCCAAAAAATTTCTTTTTCTCACATAGCTCAATTAAACTCCCCATTACTTTTTTTCCCCCTGCACCCCAAAATTTACCTACTACTCCCTCCATAACATTTTTTTTCCCCCTTTAGCATTAAAACCCCAACCACCATTTCTCTCACACTTGATTCAAACTCCCCGCATTCACTCCATTTCCCAAAAACTCTCCTTTTCCTTTACACTTCTCTCTTTTCCCCGGGCATACACGCTTATTAAAACCCCCTTTTACATCCAACTTTTTTTTTACTCCCCTAATCCCTTTAAATTAAAACATTTATATCCCCCTTTTCCTGCCCTAGCTTATCCTTTAACATTATTGCTCTCCTTTTTTAGCCTTTAACCTATTGAAACCCTGACCTAATCCCATTTATTCCCCCTTTCCCCTGAAACTCTCCCACCCCCCCTTTAGCTTTGTTTTTCCCTTAAAACCAGGGCTCCAGTCTTCTCATTCATAACATCCACAACATCTCTTTCTTTTCACTGCAAAATCACGCACATTCAGACTTCCCCCTTTGACAATTTTCTTCTTCTTATTCTTTTTAGTAATCTTTACAGGGGAAAGGGGGGACTAGCCCCTTTTCCCGCATTTTAGTTGACTTTTACAACACCATGGGTTTCGGAGGAAAGTTCTATTCCCCTTCCCCTGATATAAAAGGAAAATTAATAAGACCCGAACTATTAAGTAAAATCAAAGAAAAATCAGATGATGTTATAAATAAATTGTAAAAGTATTGTTGTGACTAAGTGTAAGTAAAGTAGCAAGACATGCCCGTAATCTTCATATTTATGGACAGCAAAAGACTCACAATCCTCCCCATGTAAAACAACACGGCTTGTTTTACACTCACTTGCAGGACGGGAGTACCCCCCCTGGGGGGTTGCTGTCTACCACCTACTACAATATAAAAATTCCCCGCCACACTCAACAATGCAGGTCCCAAATACCATTCGTCTCCATTCACTCCTATCTAAACACGTTTATTTTTTTATACACTGGGCCCATTCCACCAAGCGGGTGGCCTGAAAAAGAAAAACTTTCACCATCATTCACTCCCTCCGTCTTGCCAAAGGGGGCTTTACACTACAGTTTTTAAACTGCAACATTAACACCCCCCCTTCAGAGTGCAGGCCGTACTTCCCCTCTCCAGGCCAAGTCCGGCCCTGCCGGGTTTCCCTGAATCCCCTTTATAAATGTTTCTTTTCTCACACTCCAACAGCCGTCAAATATTAAAAACCATTTGTTCCATTCACTCCTATCAAAAACGCTCAACGTGCCTGCTGGGAAATCCAAGCCCCTCGCACACAAAAACCCCCCTTTACCCCCCCCTCCAACCCTTTTCCTAGGGGACCCCCACCCCGCCTTTCCCTTCCACTACAGACTGATACCCTTGAAATCATTTTGTTTTGCTCCTTCTTCTACAGTCCGAACCCCTCAACAACCCCTTTCCCCACCCTGTGGAAACAGTTTTTGGGAATCCCCACCCCCTCCTAACTTCCCAAATTTAAACAAATGTTGGAAAACTAAAAAAAATGAACTATTTATAAAATCCCGTTATGTCAGAAGGAAAAAGAGGTATAATTAAACAACAAAAACACCCTTTTCAAAAATTCCTCCAATGCACTCGACAAAATTTCCCTTTCAACAGGGAGTTATCCTGCCACTTTTTTTTTTTTTAAACCAACCACATTTAGGTGGGAATGAAATTTCTTTTGCATACACCCCACAATGTGTAGTATAGGACTAGAAATTTAAATATTATGTAATTTTTGATTAATACCCTTTTCCCGAAAAAGCTTTGTTAAAATTTAAATATTTTCTTTTTGGATGCAATTGTATCAAATAATTTTGTACCCAATGTATCAAAATTTATAGTAGCTGAAGCATTAACAGATTTTTGGGAAAAAATTGTTTGGGCATACCATTTTTTTTAAACCATTTAAAGCTTGAGAGAAAAGAGGGTTTCATTAAATAAAAAACACACTCGAACACTGAGAGTTTATCATATCATGAAAAGATAAAGTAGCACAAGACAAACATTATCTCAAAAAAAGCTTGATCCCAATTGTCTTTTCACTATTTGAAAAATTTACATTTGAAAAAAATTTTTAACATACTGATGAACGTATGAGAAACACACTTACCACATTATTAACTGGGATAGGAATGCTAATGATGGATGCCATTAGGGGGGCTATATCAGCTTGGTGAAGATCGTGTCGGCGTACGTGTGAGAGGCCCCACTTCTCTACACGAGCATCATATATCATTTTATCTTTAAACTGCGAGGGATCTTTTGGAAGGGCTAGACCAGCTCCCCAGGCTACAACAGGAGTCTCTGTTTCACTTGGGTCACCAGCTCCATGAGAACCTGCAAATTACTCAAGCAACGAAGTTTAACCAAAACTACATTATCCTGAACCTATTATTATAATGATAATAGTAAAAACATCTAGATGCTAAAGTTAATTAATGGTTAAGGCTTTTTAATTTTGGTATTTTTTTTTCCTATGCACCAGCCATATCCCACTGAAGCAGGGTGACCTATAAAAAAAAACGAGTTTTTCTTTTTACATATATAGTAATTTATACAGAAGATAGGGGTTACTAACCCCTTACTCCTGGCATTTTAGTCTCCTCTATTATTATTATCATTATTATTGTTTTTAACACTCCAACCATCTCCTACCAAGGTAGATGACCCACAGATGCCCTCCTAGTCATCCTATTTTTCTCCATCCTTTCTAAATGTCCAAATCATCTCAACAAACCCTCCACAGCCTTATAAATAATATTTTTGGTGACCCTACACCTCTTCCTAACCTCCAAACTCTAAATTCTCTGCATAATATTCACACTAGACATTGCCCTCAAACATGACATTTCTACTGCCTCCATCCTTCTCCTCCTAGCTGCAAGATTCAAAATCCATGCTTCATACCCATTCAACAGTATTGGTACCACTATAGTTGCACCAACAGTGGTATGACTATAGTGTTGGTACCACTATACTCTGGTAAATTTCCATTTATGTCTCCATGGATAATGTTCTTTATCTCTCCAGATGCCACAATTCACCACCCACCTTTTTTCTCTTCGTTAATTCCATGACTCGCCTCACCTCTTATGGTACTATCTGCTGAATATCCAAACAAATTAACTTCCTCCATATTTCCTCCCTCTACTAATATCCAAATCTCTCTCTCATTACCTATTTTTTTTTATACTCTCATCGCCTTGCTCTTTCCTATGCTTACTTTAAATTTTCTTCTTTTACATACCCTCCCAAATTCATTTACCAACCTTTCCAAATTCTCTTCTGAGGCTCCCCCCCCCCCCCAAAAAAAAAAAAAAACTGTCATCAGCAAAGAGCAACTGACAACATTCACTCCATACCAAATTCACTATTTTTCAATCCTACACTTCTCCCAAACATCCTAGCATTTACCTTTTATTATTATTAAAAATCATAGTACATACAGTAATCACACAAACCATGAAGTTAAAAATCATAGTAATCACACATCATGAAGTTAATAACCATATAACAGTAATGGCACATTGCACTGAAAATTTACAAAAAAATTATGCGATGAATATGCATGTAAAGATGAGACAACATGAGCTCTGCTGCTGTTGATTCATACTGTATAGGTATGTAATTACAAAAATATCAATACAAAAGATAACAATCTCATACTTACCAGAGTTCAGCCTATTTAATCCTAAAGCAGTGTGTTTGAATCAGTGTTTACTTACCCCAGTCAGTCATGCCATGATCCGAAGTGAAGATGTAAGCAGTTTTCTGGTCCTTGAAGAAATCTTCAAACAATTTCACTATTTTTTCAACTCCTTCATCAACAATTTCAATATTTTTCAGATATTCCCTACAATAATCATAAGACTTCAGACAAATGTAAATTTGCAAAACAAAGATTACAAGTCATTTTCATTAAATCCTTTACAGAGTTACTGAAATTAAAGAGAACACTCACAATATATATGCTGCTACAGATCTCTCGAACACTAATTAATAAATCTAAAATTACAGAGCAGTGATATTAACCCTTAAACTGTCCAAACATAGATCTACGTTTGCTCACATAGCGCTCCGAATGTAGATCTACGTTTTTTTTTTACATGCTTTCAAATGGAGAAAATCAAGGTCGGAGCGCTACGCACATAAACATAGATCTACATTTGGACAGTTTAAGGGTTAAATAATGGTTTAGTAAACTTCCTTTTGTACTGGTGCATATTCAACCTTTTAAAATTAATTTTTAAATTAATAATTTCAAAATTTACCACAAAATGACAGTAGCTACTAAATATACATATATGGAAGCCTTGCCAGGCAATTATTTTTTATCTGAGGGGGCTATTATCCCATTCAAAGCATCATCAAAAACAAAGATTGGTCCAGCCAATAAATTATTTTACCAAAAAACAAAAAAACATTTTGCCAAATACTGTATTTGAAACTGGTGAGCTACATACCTCTAAAAATGAGAGGAAAAACAGAAAAGCACTCAAGTCAAACTCGTAATACTGAGATTACCCTTCACACCACATTTAAGACTGCAGACAATGAACACAAACAATGATGGTACTGACAAACACCTCACAAGTAACACAAATGACATGATCAAACCAGCACTGAAGAAAGAGTGGCACCAATACTGCAACCCTGGTACCCAAAACCATACAAGATCTCATCAGACTATGATACAATAGCCATAGAAATTAAGTGCTTGAATCTACCCCATTCCATGTGCTAGATGCAACAAATGGTACAATGTAAAAACTTCATGCATCATCAACACCAGAATATTAGATTGCCAATATGCTTATAGGACCCTAACACCAACAATGCAGGTATCATCCAGTAAGAACAACATTCACAACTTATTTTATGGACAAATGCAAAACTCATCAGCAGACAATAAAACAAGATGCCTAGATGCAAAAGTTATTAGTACACAAAAGTACCACTGAAGAAAATCAAGGTGCCCTTAGCACCACTTAATCATTATTGCAACTCACGTGACCTCTTACTTGTTTGAGAGTAAGCGATATCCCAGCCCATCCTGTGGCAAGATCCTCACCTGCAACCCAGGGACCTGACCTACATTAAACATGTCACAGATTCATGATCAGGTAACATTTCAACCCACCACTAACAGCAAGACCCCTCACTTCTGAGCCTGGGCTCTGACCTATATTATGCTCTTCAATAGCTTTTCACAGTACCTTCTAGCATTTGTGTGTTGGATGTATCATCATGACTTAAAAATGCTCTTCTCAGAGCAAATTTTCAGGAGAAATTAGGAGACAGGATCAGAGTACAGATGCCTAAGTTACCAACTGGATCATGTGTGGAATGGGAATTGCCAGAGAGACCCAAGAAAAGGCATACCCTTGGAGAAGACATGATACCATCCTAGGCAATCAACCAAGTGAGAGCCTCACTGAAGGAAGGCAAAGCTGATGGAAGACATGTCAACCTCCACTCAAAAGCATCTCAATGTTAACTAGACAGGAAAGACTTAATTCTTGTAACATAACAGAGAAACACAAATGTTAAATCTTCACCTGAAGAGGTCTGCAGTGGACAAGAACTGAACCTTTCAGTGATAATGATGAGCCTCTCTTCTTGATGCCTTGTTCTCTGAAAACATCGTAATGAGAACCCTGTGTTACTAAAACTATAATGATCAAAGAGCTGCTGACAGGAATGCCTCTAGAAGCTAAGCCCAAATGGAGCTCAGCTGGTCATCATGGTCTCAAAACCTGTTGGTGCCCATGGTAGATCCCTACCCCCTGCCCCAAGAGCTAAATAATAAGCCTGACTTTTTAGGCCCCTATAATTAAGTACAATATAGGTGGGACTTCCCCACAACCCAAACCAATTACATCAATATCAAGCATAATTGCCTAGCATCCTGAACATCTACCAGGTCATTAGGTAAGACACATATGCAACAGTTAGGTATCTTTATTTAGAAACGTTTCGCCTACACAGTAGGCTTCTTCAGTCGAGTACAGAAAAGTTGAAAGAAGCAGAAGAGACTTGAAGATGATGTAATCAGTCCATCACCCTTGAAGTTTTGAGGTGGTCAGTCCCTCAGTCTGGAGAAGAGTATTGTTCCATAGTCTGAAACAATATGGAGCTGAAGTGACAGGATGGAGCCTTATATACTGCCAGGTGGTTAGATGTAGGCTTCTATCAACTTTCCTGTACTCGACTGAAGAAGCCTACTGTGTAGGCGAAACGTTTCGAAATAAAGATACCTTTTTTTTTTTTTCAACAAGTCGGCCGTCTCCCACCGAGGCAGGGTGACCCAAAAAAGAAAGAAAATCCCCAAAATGAAAATACTTTCATCATCATTCAACGCTTTCACCATACTCACACACTATCACTGCTTTTGCAGAGGTGCTCAGAATACAACAGTTTAGAAGCATATACGTACAAAGATACACAACATATCCCTCCAAACTGCCAATATCCCAAACCCCTCCTTTAAAGTGCAGGCATTGTACTTCCCATTTCCAGGACTCAAGTCCAACTACTATATGAAAATAACTGGTTTCCCTGAATCCCTTCACTATATATTACCCTGCTCACACTCCAACAGATCGTCAGGTCCCAAGTACCATTCGTCTCCATTCACTCCTATCTAACACGCTCATGCACGCTTGCTGGAAGTCCAAGTCCCTCACCCACAAAACCTCCTTTACCCCCTCTCTCCAACCCTTTCGAGGACGACCCCTACCCCGCCTTCCTTCCCCTATAGATTTATATGCTTTCCATGTCATTCTACTTTGATCAATTCTCTCTAAACGACCAAACCACCTCAACAACCCCTCTTCTGCCCTCTGACTAATACTTCTATTAACTCCACACCTTTTCCTAATTTCCACACTCTGAATTTTCTGCATAATATTTACACCACACATTGCTCTTAGACAGGACATCTCCACTGCCTCCAACCATCTCCTCGCTGCTGCACTTACCACCCAAGCTTCACATCCATATAAGAGTGTTGGTACTACTACACTTTCATACATTCCCTTCTTTGCCTCCATAGGTAACGTTTTTTGACTCCACATATACCTCAACGCACCACTTACCTTTTTTCCCTCATCAATTCTATGATTAACCTCATTCTTCATAAATCCATCCGCTGACACGTCAACTCCCAGTTAGATACCTAACTGTTGCATATGTGTCTTGCCTAACAACCTGTCGGTATTTTATACCATTTTAATGTTCACTCTGTCAGACACTGCAACACAAAGGTATCTTGGTACAGATCTGAAATCAACTTGGACAACTTCTACTAGCGAGAATGGCTGGATTTGAGAGGAACCTGACCTCCCAACGACTTCTTTCTTAATTCTACTGGTAGCCTACATCTCACCACCTGGCGGTATATAAGGCTCCATCCTGTCACTTCAGCTCCATATTGTTTCAGACTATGGAACAATACTCTTCTCCAAACTGAGGGACTGACTACCTCAAAACTTCAAGGGTGATGGACTGATTACATCGTCTTCAAGTCTCTTCTGCTTCTATCAACTTTTCTGTACTCGACTGAAGAAGCCTACTGTGTAGGAGAAAAGTTTTGAAATAAAGATACCTGACTGTTGCACATGTGTCTTACCTAACAACCTGTCGGTATTTTATACCATTTTAATGTTCATCTACCAGGTCAGCTGAGAGGAAACAAAGTTCTCAAAGAAACACTCAAGATAAACCCCTGTATTACCCTAGAACTAGAATGAAGGACTACAGGTAGCATTGGTGGAGTAAAAAGTGACCTTAAAAGACTAAGGAGGAAGACTGGAAACTAAAACAAGGCCACTGCTACTTCAACTACTGTTAGATCTGGAAACCACAAGAATCTCCTGTAAAGAATTGTACAAGTTGGAGGGATCACCCCAGAGGAAGTCAAAACCACACAAAGCTATTATACTGAATCACAGAGGCTTGTAGAGGAAGTACAATAAACCATCTTTCATGCCTCTACCTATTATATTTCCACCTGTTTGCAGTTCATTTTTTGTATCTATTTGCACCTTTCACGGTGACTCTACCCACTCCAACATGGCCAACCATTGCAACATCATAGGCAGGCCAATTCCCCTCTCAAGTGCCTCAGGCCTCTTTTGTTTCATTGTAAACCTAGCTTTCTTTACACCCACCTATGCCACTATGGACACGTAATATAGGATTACTCTCGTATCGCCCCATGCTGTGTCTGGATATTATTCATGGTATGAAAAAGGAACTCTAGTGTAGGTGAAAGTGCCAAGAAACTATGCCTCTAGTGAAGAAAACAGAGGTAACATGTGAGTGCACATGTGAGGGAATCAACAAATCGTTTAATTCAAGACAATGAGAAAATAAGAGCTTGTATCATGAGTAACCCAAATTATGCTGATGGCTATGATGAGAGAGAGGATACTTCACTGTGTGACTTCAATTTCCCTCCTCTAAGGGCACCTCACTGTATATGAAATGTCACCCATTGGTATGGTGCATCACAAACAAGGCCAGTGATAATTTTCTATCCAGTTGCTCTGGCAGATCAAATGTAACTTGCTTACATCCATAGTTCTGGTTAATTCTGATTTATAGTAAGTTAATGAGACAGAAAAGTACAGCATAATCCAAATAGGTAGTACAGTATTTTAAGGTGAGGAGAGGTGTGATTGGGGCCTGAATGTGTTCCCAAGTCACTGGAGCCCAACCACAAATGGGATTTGTCTGGTGACACAAATATTAAAACCATATTGTAAAATACTGTATGTAAAATTAGACACATGTGCAACTCTTGGGTATCTTTATTGAAGAAACGTTTTGCCACAGTGGCTTCATCAGTCCATACAAAGGAGAATGGTGAAGAACAGGAGGAGTTTGAGGTAATCAGTCCCTCAGCCTAGAGTCGATGTGGTCAGTCCATCAATCTTAAAAAGAATACAGCATATCTGCAGAGTAGCAGCTTATATACCATAGGCAGGAGAGGTGCAGCAGTCATAGGTGGTTGCACATGTGTCTAATTTATCACCGTGTTGGTTCTCTGAACCATTCATCTACAATCCTGTCTGACACTGCAACTTCTTAGGATCTTAATACTTGAGAATTTTTCGCTTGCCTAACCCTTGGGCACGATCTACTTCCACATTGGTCAAATGTAATACCACCTACGACTGCTTCACCTCTCCTGCCTACGGTATATAAGCTACTTCTCTGCAGATATGCTGTATTCTTTTCAAGATTGATGGACTGACCACATCGACTCAAGGCTGAGGGACTGATTACCTCAAACTCCTCCTGTTCTTCACAATTCTCCTTTGTATGGACTGATTAAGCCACTGTGTGGCAAAACGTTTCCTCAATAAAGATACCCGAGAGTTGCACGTGTCTAATTTATCACCGTGTCGGTTCTCTGAACCATTCATCTACAGTGCTGTATGTAAATATTCATTATTTACATAAAATAAATAACGTACTCTGAATGTGGCTTGTGGGCATGTCCATTGGTGTCAAGCCCTAGAAGATGAAGGAAGAAAATATTGCGGTCTTTACGGATTTGCTCAAGGAGCCTTACATCTTCTGAGGCCTCTTTGAAGAATTCTCTCACATGCTCAAATACCCATTTATCCAGTTTTGAAGCATCACTGCTGGCAAAATCCTCTTCTTCAGCCTTATACATAAATGTTTCTATATGGCCTCTTTCAGCACCTATAATGAAATAATATTTGTGTCAGTTATTTATTATTTAATATCCCAAAAGAAGCAAATATTGTTTCATTTCAACTGATTGCTGTCTTTGCTATTATAGTACGTGTATTCTGAGCATAATGCTTACTCTGCAAACGAATAAAATTTGATGGAAAACTTACAGAATTATGCATGCACAAAGTTCATAATCTGGGAGCAATTTACACATCAGCAATTCTACCCATTTTAAGCCATATTCTAAGTCAATTCCATTGCTGCATTCTACCTAATTCTTAGCTATTTTGCTAGTATGCTCTCTGTTCTATAAAGTGCACAGAAATTGGTAATTTGGCCAACTTTACATAAAATTAAAAAAAAAAAAAATAGTGCGCAAAATAAATAATATAGACATTACTGGCATGTGTCATACTTGTTTTCTGTAGGTGTGCCTATCTTTCAGGGATATTGAGAATTTCTTGGAAGATGTTGTATGATGGGTAGTGGTTATACTTTATCCTCCCAATAAGGAGGTTATGGGCGAGCTTTTGCATGGTTTACTTCATAGTGGGGCGGACAATGGCATGGAAAATGACGGTCTTTTCATCCAGTGGAGGGAACTGGTAGGTTGGTACTGGCGATTCTTAGGTAGGGATGCAGTTGATTGATGGAGAGTGCTTTGTAGGTACTGTTTCTTGGCCAGGTTTGCTGGTTGTTTTTTGATTAGTCTGAATCTTCAGAATCCTAGTTGTCTGCTAAAACCTAGTATATACAGTGTCTGCTCTAATATAAATACCAAGGCATGTCAGAGAATGGAATAGCCAATCATCATTCAAGCTGCCCATTTTCTATAAGGTAGGGAGTGAAGAGTAGCACTTTTAATATACAAAGGCTGACTGATGGTAGTTTACATATGATTATTCAGTTATGTATAGCCATGATAACTTGAGAACACTAAAGAGCATCTTTAAGATTGTGATACAGGTCCTCCATCACAAATCCGGCAACATTGGGACCTGTAGTGTGCCAGATTACTGAGTTTGCCGGATTACTGAATGATTAGGTTAGAATACACTTAACCCGTAAACGGTCCAAACGTAAATATACGTTTTTACCGCTAGTGCCCCAAACGTATATATACATTTTATTTGTCATACATTCAACATTGCCACGATAAGCCTGAGTCGCCTAGACATGAGAGAATGGGTGTGTGCACTCACTGTGTGCCATATTAAAATAATTGGGGATCCCTGGGTACCATATGCTCTTTTTTCCTATTAAAAAAACAATTTTTTTTCTCAAAAAAGTTGGGGCACTATGGTAGAGGACATATATATACGTTTGGACCATTTATGGGTTAATAAAATTAACCAACTTGACTTACACAAAGTTCAGTGAACAAAAGCAAAAATCAAACATTTCTGCTACCTTGAGCTCAATTTCAAGGTACTTTTCATCATGAAACCAATCAATGTATTTTCCTTTCTATCAAATGAGACCAAAAAAACGAGAATACAACCATAAAAACCACACGAGAATATACCGCAAATAAGCAGCTAATGGCTGAGAAGTGAACTCCCTTATTTATCTTTTTTTTTTTTTTTTTTTTTTTTTTTTTTTTTTTTTTTTTTTTTTTAGTCTTTGGTGTACATTGTACATTAACCCTTTCAGGGTCCGTCCCGTAGATCTACGGCTTTACGTTCAGGGTCCAAACCGTAGATCTACGTCATGAGCTCAGCTCACTCTGATAAACTGAGTGGTAAATTTGGGCCTAGATGTGAGAGAATACATCTATGTGGTATGTGTGCACCACATAAAACAAATCCTGCAGCACACTGTGTATAATGAGAGAAAAAAAACAGACAGTGATTTTCGATTAAAACAGCGACTTGCAGTGTTTTTTCGTATGTTTTTTATAGTTGTATTTGTGATTTCTTGGTCTCATTTGATAGAATGGAAGACATATCACAGAAATAGAGATAATTTTGATTAGTGTTAGCACTGGAAATGGCTTGAAACTGAGCTCAAAGTGGCGGAAATGTTAAATTTTTGCCGATGTTCAAGAGTAAACAAACGACCTCACACGTCTTATACACGCCAGCTGGTGGGTCTAATATACATTCACAAATGTGGTGATGATATTTATACAATTATTACAATATTGCATAACAGTAAATCTTCTATTTTTTGGTGTGAATAAAAATTCATTATGTGAATAAAAATTCAAAATGGAATTTATTTGTAAAGCCTCAAAACATAACTAATGAACAGAGGAAATGTTAGTTTAGTGCCAGGAATACCTACATTGTTTATTCTGGACCCTATTTTGAAATTGGAATATTTTGAACTTTGTGTTAAATTGGCCAAATTACCAATTTCCAGTCACTTTATTTTGTAGCTGAAATGGTTGACTTGGCGATTTCTTGTGCTCAATCGATAGAATAGAAGTAATACTAGTGAAATAGCTAAGAATTTGGTCGACTGGAATAATGTAATTGGCCTAAAATGGGAGTCAAAGTCGGCAAAATCGCCGATTCGTAAATATCGCTGACACATCAAAATTCACGAGAGCATAATTTCGTCAATTTTCCATCAAATTTCGTACTTTTTGTTTTATTACCTTCACAAAAAGATTCTCTACCATTTCATAAGAAAAAATAAAATTTTTTTTTTTTTTTTAAATTCTTGGACACTGGGGCACCACTTCAGATTTTGGCCTTGGACCCTGAAAGGGTTAAGAAGCATCTTTCCATCAAATATTGCCCAAGTTTCAATACGATAGCCCAACAAAACTGAGAAAAAAAAATATTTACCAAAAATCATATATGGCAAGCCCAAGCCAGGTACTGGAAATAAGTCACTGACTTTTTTTTGGGTTATCCTAGGTTCTCTATACATACGCTGCTATGTATGATAATCTACCTACATGTAACTGTATTTGTGTGTACCTGAATAAACTCACTTATTTACTTACTTCTAGTCTGTCAACTGAGTACAAGAACTCGCCCATTCACTTATTTCAACTACCCAATAAAGTGGTCAGAAATTGGCAATTTGGCCAATTTTACAAAAATTTCAACAGATGCCAATTTCAAAATAGGGTCCAGAATAAACAATGCAGACATTCCTGGCACTAAAATAACATTTTCTCTGTTTATTTGTCACGGCTCCAAGCCCCTCTTATATTACTCTTGCTTACCATTTGGAATTTTTATTCACACAAAAAATAAAAGATTTACTGCTATGCAGACTACTGCATTATTGTAACTGTATAAATAATGTCAACCCATTCTTGACTCCGTATTGGAATTTGGACTGGCAGGCGTACATGTATTAGATGGTGACTCTTGAACATTGCTAAAGAATCGAACATATCCCCTACTGTGAGCGCAAGTTTTCAAGGTACTTTTCATTGTGAAAGCAATCAAAATCATGTCTATTTCTGTAATATATCTTCCATTCTATCAAACGAGACCAAAAAACGAGAATACAACCATAAAAACCATATGAAAATATCCCGCTATGGGGCCGCTAATGGCCGAGAAGTGAACTGTGTTATTTATGCTCTGATTTCTTTCATTTTTGGTGTATGTTAAGAAGCATCTTTCCATCATACATTGCCCAAGTTTCATTAAGACAGCCCAACAAACAACTGAGAGAAAAAAAAAAATAATAATAATAATAATATATTTACTACACGTACATGTACATGGTATACAGGCCTAGCCGACATCAGTGACATACTACTATATAGAAAGCCCCCTTGTTATGCTAAGCATTTCAGGAAAATTAGGTCAGTGTCCCAGGATAAGACCCATACCAGTCCACTAACAACCAGGTACCCATTTACTGATGGGTGAACACAGACAACAGGTGTAAAGAAACACACATCCCTGGCTGGGATTCGATTCCCTGGCTGGGAATCAAATATTTACCAAAATCATATATGGTTAGCCCAAGCCAGGTACTAAATATAAGCCACTTTGACTTTTCTGGGTTATCCTAGGCCCTCTACACATATGCTGCTATGTGTGATAATCTGTGTAGAGAAAATAGCTTTTATGTTTCAGTTTTATGGTGCAGGACGAGTGTATATCACAGTTAGCCCTGTGCTATACTACATTTTCTTTAATATAAGCCCCCAAGACAAGGATAGAATGGTACTTGTATCCCATATCCTCTTCATACCTCCGTCAAACTGCTCAGTATTATGCCAAATATTATTCATTCCGGAGTATTTAACATGTTTTTATGTTATTTATATTGTTTATTATGTCATATTAGATCAATTGTGATAGGCAAATATGCCGTAGTGTTGATATTAGCATAATAATGAAGCATATTTCCCTGCATCAAGAGACTGAGCTCATAGCAAATGGCAGTGGCTTCAAAGCCACCTTATCTTTAATGGACAATGTGTAAGTGCTTTACACAACGAGAAGCATTATTTTATTCGTTGGAGCAATGGCTAGGGCTAAAAGTAAGCAGGTTATATCAATAAATGGAGAAAAAGAAATTGGAATGACTTATGCAGCAAGTAGTGCCACCAAACAGTACCCGCAGGCTGGTGAGGTGACCCTGGAAATTTGAAATTATGCTAGCCGAAATTAGTGCCGAATAACTGATGGAACCGGATGTCTGATTGCCAGATTTGTGATGGCAAACCTGTACAACCTTGGCTCTATTCAATGCTATAGTTATTTGTCGAATTTATCAACACCACCAACCACAACATAACCCCTGTAAAACATGCTGAATACTCCACATCAATCCACTCAACTCACACTGAACAGTGTAAGCAAAAAGAGCACCATGATTGTTCAAGGCAGTGAAACACAGATCAGTGATCTCCAACAACAAAGAATGTTTAATTAATAAGTGAGGTTGATCAGCAAAACTGTCAACACTGAAGTGCCATGCTATTTACTGCTGGTCACACTGTGCATGAGAGACAGTTTTAGTTTAATAAGTTCATTATGCACCCCATACCCATCCTGTGGGCGGTAGTCAAAAGATTACAGAGGTACATAATTGGTCCAGGGACTGGACTCCAAAGTTTTGATAGCTGAGCAAGTTACAGAGGTAATGAACTCACAATTTACAAAGGTAATGAACTCACAATTTACAAAGGTAATGAACTCCAGGTAGGTCTAGTCACAATCATGACAAGTTACAAAGGTATTTACAGATTACAGAGGTATGTAATGGGTCCTGGGACTGGGCCCCCAAAGCATGAGAGACAGAAAACACAATTTGTGTGTCAAGCAAGGTGCATGTATACAGTCATCCTACAAATTATTGTAGGTTTGAATCACCCAACATTTTTACCAATGAGTAATCAGTGAATACATTCAATTATTCAGTCATCCCTAAACTGAACTCTGTATTATTCAGTTTCCAGTTTCATGGAACTTCTAGGCATGTAACCTGTGAATCTAGAAGGCTATCACCATTCTCACAGGAGGGAAGAAAAAGTATAATAGCTGCAGAAACAAGTGAGAATTCTCCATGATGAGTTGATATCAATGGCAAAATAGTTGTGCATGCTTGTGTTTGAGCTGGATGCTAGTGCACATAAACATGGAAGGTACACAAGGCACACTCAAGGTACATTCTCCACTGCTTCAAATTATAATTGCTCACTGTGTTACTCCCCTAGCCTCAGAACCCCCAAAAGTAAATCCTCAGAGTACAATAAATTCTCATATTTTAACGCAAATATTTTAATGCAAATGTTGAATAATATATATTTGACATAAGTATAACCTATTGTATAATTAGTGCAACCTGATCAAACTATGATTTGTATGTCTAGTGTTAAGTAATCTGTTAAGTCTGGACTGCCCGTAATGCCAAGGCATGATAGTGGCTCTCTTTGCACTACAAATCATTGTAAACCCTCGCTGTAAACTACCTATGTATATATACTTCCTACAATATGTCAACCACATTGTAAACTTGCAAGGAAATAAAAAAATCTAAATCTAAACTGGGCAATAAACTGATCAGAAGTTACACATATAGGAGAGTATTTCTAATGTGATTCATGGAAAGACATGATAGAGGATGTAGCACTTCACCTTCTACATGCTTTTCTTGAGGGGAACTGGGTCTTGCAGCTATATGCTGTAAGAACAATAATCTCATGGTGTTGTGGCTACAATAAGATGAATTATGCTAGGCAAAAGTCTGTGCAGCTGGCTCAAATGGAAACTCTCCCAGAGAATTATCCTGATGTGCATGCATTCTTTAATAAAGAACAACCAATTCTTGGGACTGATGGCCAGCACAATCTCTTTGGGCATATATCTGAGGATTTAAGATCCCTGGAGGCAAAGCCCAATTCAGCCTGAAAGCAAGAGCTATCACATGGTATATACTGCTTAACACCTAAGCATGGCAGTGTATTTCTAGGACAGCTATGAGACATAGTGTAATGTAACAAATTAGATATTCATCATACAGAGCTACAGTAGCCAAAAAGACGAAGCAGTGTCAGCAGTTGTTGGCCTAATCCAAGACTGGGTTAGCCCATTTGTAAATAAATTGAACCTCATTAGCTTTGAAAAAATGTTTGCTATAAAGCTTTTGCATTTCCACATGTGTGACAAATATATTTACAGTAGACCCTCAACCAATGGCATTAATCCATTCCAGAGGGCTTACCGTTGGTCGAGATAATTTTCCCCATAAGAAATAATGGAAATAGAATTAATCCGTTACTAACATCCCAAAGTCTGAAATTTTTTTTTTTTTACATGAAATAAACAATAATTAAATGCCACTTACCTTTATTGTGGAGTTGTTGATGAGTGATGTGCCAGCAGCAGGGGAGATTCAGGATTGTCTATTGCTTGAAAGGAGAATCCCCTTCCATAAAGACTTCAGGTACCAAGTCCTTTGGTGGGGTTACCTCCCTTCTTGGTTTTGTAATGCCACTAGGACCAGCTTGAGAATCACTGGACCACCCTCTACCACCATCACTACCACCCTCTACCACCATCACAACCAGTACCACCCTCTACCACCATCACAACCACTACCACCATCATAACCAGTACCACCCTCTACCACCACCACTACTTTCATATTTTTCTACAAACTTTTTCTTGAATTCTATCGTGTTTCTCACATCCTTTACCAAAGGGCTGGCTCTAGAAGCTTTCATGGAGTCCATGGTGGCTTCTTTAGCAGTTACAAGCACTAGAAACATTGGAATAATCCAAAATGGATGGGAGGCACACGTGGAAACCGACTGCAACAGCTTGTAAAGAATGGCACACTGACTCTTGGAGTGGCTGGGCACACATCGACAGGTTCCGGACGAATGTTGCTGGTTAAGTTTTTTGCCGTTGGTTCAGGCATTTTTTCTACGGCAAAAACTGCCGTTAGACAAAATTGCCTTTACTAAATGTTGCCGTTAGTTGAGGGTCGACTGTATATTGTTGGATTAATGTCAAAATGCTATTTGGTTGAAACAGATGGCCTTAATTTATGTTGGTTATTTTCAAAGGTTTATTTGTTAAGAGCGGGATTACAAAAGGGTACTAACATGCAAAAAGCAGCCATGGCTGCAATATTACCAAGCATTTTCTTATATTAAGGGAGTATAACTATACAAAAATCACTGAGCATTATTGCTCTCAGATGGTAGTGACCAACCCTATTGTCTCACAAACTATTTAAAAATGGGTTGAGAAACACTGTAGCTAAGTCCAAACAAACATTATCAAATGCAAAATTGCTAATCATATTCAAAATACTCCCACATAATTTACTTCTACAATTTGGAGATATTTTCATTTCATTTTAGTACTTGTAATCACAACTAGGTAATCATGTGTGGCTGTAACCTAGGGGACCAAGTCAGAGAGAATACCATGGTGATTGTAACTTACCAGACCATGGTGATTGTAACTTACCAGCAGCAAACATTGGAAGAATATCTGGACTACCCCAACACCAAGTGTGGCGACTCTCATTGAAAACTGAATCAAACTCAACTGGATTCTCTTTCCATCCTTTAGCAATGGCACTGGGGTCTTCATAGAAGCCAGCAATGATTGCAACATGGCCAGGTCGAGACTCCGTGGGTACCCGTGTGTGTGACACTCCCCATGTTCCTTGGGTCTCAATAACAGATCTACAAACACATAAGATTATTTTATGGTATTTCCTTTGACAATAAAAATTATATTGTTTCTGAAAGAGATAGTTCAAGACAAATTTGAAGAAAAGTGGAGGATGTGAACAGCAGCTACTAGGGAGGTACAATAATTCTTCAATACTGAAGAGTATGGCCTTAAATGACTCGACAAATCCAGAAACTAATAAATGTTCATGAATAAGGTGCTACTAAATGTTCTTCATGAATAAGGTGCTACTAATTGTTGTCTGTGATAATGTGATACAGATGTGATGGATACATTATCATTACTACTATTAATTACAGTATTATTATTTTCACAGAAAGAAAGAAATCTAAAAGGGTCATACACACTGCATGACAGAAGGAGAAGTGATAGAGGGGAGGGGAAGAGACAGGTGTGTTGAGAGATTACTGGCTGAAAGAATGGAGCAAACCAGTGTCAATTTGGAAAGCATGTCCATGGCACTGGTAACACAATCAAGGAAGACAGAGTAAGTATGTCAGGAAATCTGAGGTGTCTGAAATTATGCTGGTGTGCTTTCTAATTAAAGGAGCAATCAATCAGAATATGTTGCAGTGTCCAGACAATTTGACAATCCTCTGGCACGGTGCAGCATGCCTCTCCATGAGAAGGCTATGCACTTCGAGAACCTGAGATTATGGCAGACAACAAGGCAGACAAAGTAGCAATGTGAATAACAGCAGTGAGAATTCTTTTATCTTAACACATCAGCCGTTTCCCACCAAGGCAGGGTGACCAAAAAAAGAAGAAGTACTTTAATCATCATTCACTCCATCACTGTCTTGCCAGATTATTATAATAATCAAGGGGGGGTGCTAAACTCATAGGATTATGCAGTGCCTGTGGGGGGACTGTGGAAAATATTCAGGCTTAATTCAGGAAACTGGAGCACAGATCCGATTCCCTAGATCAAGAGCCCCTCACCAACATCAAGGAACCTTCCTTGAGGGGCTGTCTTGCCAGAGGCATGCCTACACTACAGATAAAAAACTGCAACATATTAACACCCTTCCTTCAGAGCACAGGCACTGTACGTTCCACTTCCAGGACTCAAGTCCAACTAACGGGTTTCCATGAATTCGTTCATAAACGTTACTTTGCTTACACATCATCATAAAAACCATTCATCTCCACTCACTCCTAACACACTCATGCACGCTTGCTGGAAATTCAAGCCCCTCATGCACAAAACAGCCTTTACCCCCTATTAGGGTTTAGGATTCCCCTTCCTGCCTGGAGGAGTGGGAGGGCAATCAGGTTCGATCTAGGGAAGGGAAGGGAAGGGAAGGGAAGGGAAGGGAAGGGAAGGGAAGGGAAGGGAAGGGAAGGGAAGGGAAGGGAAGGGAAGGGAAGGGAAGGGAAGATCCAATTCCGTGGATCAAAACCGCATTCATGGGTAAAGTGCTAAAACCTGTAGGGGTTAAACCGCATGAGGGAATTGGAGGAATTCAGGAAGGGTAAAGCAGGTCAACTGTCTCGCATCAAGAGCCCTTCACTAGCGTTAAGGAACTTCCCCGAAGAAAAAAAAAACCGAGTGCAGTATATACCTTAAAAATGGTGCCCTGGTGGTGTGGTTGGTATAGTCGTAGAAAGCATCAGCTCTGAGGCCATCAGCAACTATGAGGACTAGTCTGTGTGCTGCTGGGTGTTGGTGGTGTAGGTGTGGGGTCATACCATGGCTCAGTGGTGTCCTGAAGTATATGTCAAACACTGACATGAAAAATATCAGATGAACCATGAACCCCACCGCAAACATCCACATCTTGCCTGAACCACCACACACACACACAAGCCTCTTAATATACCACTGCCTCAAGTCTCTCCACATCCATCATAATACTCTCACTTTAACAAATTCCTCTTCAAACAGACTTGACGTCCTCGGAAACAAAAAAAAAAAACTTCTTTTCCCATTGTGTTGTTGATATAATTAAAAGCCACCGCAGCACGAGTCGTATTCAACCTTTCCTCTTGGTGTTCCGTGTATATGCAAGTTATACACCTGATATATATAAACCTTGTGGGTGTCCAGTGACACGTATATAGAAAAGTAATCAACGCTATTAAACTAATCAGCATAAGTGTGCGAGTGAGGCGTCAGGGAGTAGTATTATGTGCGTCACTACCCTGGGTGGGTGACCGGCGCCATGCAAGAGTTGCAACACTAACCTCTGCAGTAGCAATCTAAATACTGTTATCTTCACCCTAAGTTAATAAATAATTAAGTTATTGAGTAAGAAAATAACATATTTTTATAATGATCTTGGGGTGATGTGAGGCTATAAGGGTGTTAGTGGGTATTTACTGGAGTTAGAGGTGTAATAGAGCATGGAGTACTGTCTTCCAATTTTCACATGTAACTTATTTATTTTATTTATGCTTACTTATATTTAAAATGGATTACTTTTTAATTGATAAATTGCTATACTTCATACTGTAAATTGTTTTTGCTTGTTTTTTTGTATTACTGTACAACTATAAAGCCTCTTATTAGAAATACTCATTTGTAATTCATGTTATATTTTGTTTACTGTATTTTTACCACCCAATATATTATTGCTTAATTAATCTTAAGTTAATTTTAAGCTGCCCACAATGCTCTGCATACAAGGGGCTTTTGGCATATACACTCAACTACTGTATTTCTTTTGTATAACTATGTATCATGTCCAAATAATAATAAATAAATAAATAAATAAATAAATAAACTATATCAAAACTGTAATTATTCTATACTGAACTGCTCTACTAGACTTATTAAAGCCATACAGCATTACCTAATAGAATACTCCATTCTCTTGTACTCATTGTAACTCATCTAATGACCATATGAACTGTAATTGCCGTATTAATATTAAGTTAAAATTAAGTTTGCCCGAAATGCTCCACATACAGAGTGACTTTTGGTATGAGCACCCAGCTGTTATATATTTATTTGTACAACCATGTAGCATGTCAAAATAAAAATTATTATTATTATTATTATTATTATTGAATATATTTGTCTCACAGGAAGCTTTATGGTCATTAGATGAGTTACAATGAGTACAAGAGAATTGAGTATTCTATTAGGTAATTCTGTATGGCTTTAATATAATAATAATAATAATAATATATAATATATATATATATATATATATATATATATATATATATATATATATATATACATATTTATATGGTAATGACAGTTGTATTTTTATATAACATGGAACAACAACTGTTCTTAGTACTATACAACATTTACTTCTAATTTCTTGCAAACCAGATAATTGTTTACTTATTTAAATAATACTCTAAATGTGCAAAGAACAGATATTTGCGAGATTATTTGAGGTTGAAAACACTAAGAGCCTTAAATAACAGCATTCATTGTTGGATGAATGAAGTGAGGCAGTGTGGAGGTGGATGTTGATGATGGAGCAACCTCGCTTGTCAACTGACGTGGTGAGTCACTATACTGCACTATACCTTACTCTTAACACTTGATACATATGTATGTGATGTGTTCCTGGGGTATATATGTAGTGTGGAGGTCAGCGTGACCAAGACAACTGCTGCTGGGGACACAATCTGGCTTCACCTCCACTAATGCAGGAATTGCATTGTTTATAGATATGTATGTCTAAAATTTACCGCTACCGCTATATTATATTATTTAAAAAGTCAGTATAATTATAGAAAGGTGAGGTTATAACTGGACCGGGTTGCGGGGGCGGTGACCCCTAGAAGCTGGTAAGTTTTTATTCAGGTACAGGTACACATAAATACAGTTACATAAATTATCATACATAGCAGTATATGTGTAGATTACCTAGGATATGTTGGTATTTATGATAATTTGTTATTTGTGTGTATGAACCTGAATAAACTTAAAGCTGCTGGGGGTCACCGCCCCCATAACCTGGCCCCAGACCAGGCCCATTTGAATTCATTGGGGGGAATTTGTCTAGGCCGCATTAATGGGTTACGTAGCACTTCTCATCTACACCATTCAGCAACAGACCCATTGAAGCGAGAGCTTCACTATGTGAAGCTCTCGCTTCACATTTATCTAGTACACATTGATCAGGTCTGTAGTTGTATGTGGCTGTTTTATAAATATGTATAGTGTCATGTTTAGGAAAGGTTTCCCTGCATTAACCTAACATGACCCTCTAGGTCTAGGATTTAGACAACAGGAGTCAGTCAGGATGAGAAGGCACAAGACGGCATTTACTGAATATGGGAATGGTAGGGAAGACCAGGTGAAGTATATATATCTTGGGAGTGAAACTGTTAAGCTGTGATTCTGTAGTGGTTTATCAGAATCTATTCCCACAATATTCTGTTTTGGGCAAAACAAAGGTAACTAGTATTGCAAGGACATTAGAGTAATTATGTGTGGTAAGTAAGTCGCATGCTATACAGTAGTTTGTTCTAATTCTATTTATATTGCATTTTTTTCAGTTTATGTCAGAGCTGACACTGATGTTCCACAATGCCCGAACACATGGAGAGGTGACAGTAACAATAAAGAGATGTGAGTTGAATGCAGCTCATTATGAAACATTTTTAATAAGTTAAATAACTGTAATGTCTTCACACTTATGGCAAGCCAACTATGTATTGCTTTAAAAATAATGTGTTTACTATTTTTTGGGTCACCATACCTTGATGGGAGATGGCCAGTGGTTAATTTTTGTTTTATATACAAACAAACACACATATATACATGCATGCATGCATCTACTGTACATCATCTTAACTTGAGAAATCTTTTATAATATTGTAAACTAGGTATACTGTTTTGTATTTTGATCATCATGCAATGGAACAAGGCATCATTGGGCCAGAATAATCCCAGCATACATCTTATTCTTATGTCTCAGATGTTTGCTTATTTATACTCCTGATACTTAGTTACTTTTATGACAGTGGTAGAGTTAAACAGCCTTTGTTTAGGGAGATTGGGAAAAGCCTCTCAATTTACAGATTCTTATCAAAGAATAATTTGTGATTTAAAATGATGTTGATATTTTTCCTTTAGATTGTTTGTCTTTGAAGGAATGCCTTAATTTTGGAGCAATTGCCTTAGTTTTGGAGGAATTGCCTTAATTTATGCTCTTAATTGTGCTGTCCTGGCTATTGCATCAGTCAAATGGGATTGAACCATTTTCTGGCAGAAGTACAAGTTGCAGATCTAGGAGTAGTTGAAAGTGTATAACTACTGACATTCTCTTTGGTTTGACCTCTCCTTTTATTAGCCAAATGACATTCTCATTGGCAGCACTTTGTTTCAATAGACAGCTTTACTAAGCCTTATTCTGTTAATGTTAAGAGTCAGCCTATAAGTTGTGGGCTAGGTAGTGTAGGGTGTGGTCTTTAGGGAATCCAGCACTGTTGGTTGAATTGGTGGGGGTCCTGGGGCTGTGATTTGATTAATGATGCTTAATGATATAGACATGAGCCATAGCCATGAGCCATATCCGACATAGACAAGGATGTCAGCCACAGCACCGTGTCTTCCTTTGCAGATGACACCCGAAACTGCATGACAGTGTCTTCCATTGCAGACACTGCAAGGCTCCAGGCGGACATCAACCAAATCTTTCAGTGGGCTGCGGAAAACAATATGAAGTTCAACGATGAGAAATTTCAATTACTCAGATATGGTAAACATGAGGAAATTAAATCTTCATCAGAGTACAAAACAAATTCTGGCCACAAAATAGAGCGAAACACCAACGTCAAAGACCTGGGAGTGATTATGTCTGAGGATCTCACCTTCAAGGACCATAACATTGTATCAATCGCATCTGCTAGAAAAATGACAGGATGGATAATGAGAACCTTCAAAACTAGGGAGGCCAAGCCCATGATGACACTCTTCAGGTCACTTGTTCTATCTAGGCTGGAATATTGCTGCACTCTAACAGCACCTTTCAAGGCAGGTGAAATTGCCGACCTGGAAAATGTACAGAGAACTTTCACGGCGCGCATAACGGAGATAAAACACCTCAATTACTGGGAGCGCTTGAGGTTTCTAAACCTGTATTCCCTGGAACGCAGGAGGGAGAGATACATGATTATATACACCTGGAAAATCCTAGAGGGACTAGTACCGAACTTGCACACGAAAATCACTCGCTACGAAAGCAAAAGACTTGGCAGACGATGCACCATCCCCCCAATGAAAAGCAGGGGTGTCACTAGCACGTTAAGAGACCATACAATAAGTGTCAGGGGCCCGAGACTGTTCAACTGCCTCCCGGCACACATAAGGGGGATTACCAACAGACCCCTGGCAGTCTTCAAGCTGGCACTGGACAAGCACCTAAAGTCAGTTCCTGATCAGCCGGGCTGTGGCTCGTACGTTGGTTTGCGTGCAGCAACAGCCTGGTTGATCAGGGGCTGATCCACCAGGAGGCCTGGTCACAGACCGGGCCGTGGGGGCGTTGACCCCCGAAACTCTCTCCAGGTAAACTCCAGGTAATAGCTGGAAACTAATGTCTGGAAGGCTATTGGTTCTGAAACCTGAATTGTATGTGGCTTTCCCATCCCCCTTTCCCCATTCCTCCTCCTCTCAGATGATGCTGTAGATAGTGCTGGCCATTGTTGTTTTGTGCAGTTACAAGGGATGTAATGTGCTGGTGATTCTGGGACCAGCTCAGAGGTGGTCTTCAGCCATGATAAATTGCATAACACAGTCCACTGCAAAACAGCACCCCTCCCCCCCCCCCACCTTTACTCTTCGAAGACCTAAATCTACTCGCTATACAAAACATTCATTCTTACTACTGTTCATCCTACATTTACCAAACAATAAATTCTAATATTAATCGCGACCTAAAGCACTTTCTTGATAGTTGCAGCAGGACCCATAGATATACGTAATACAGTAGAACCCCCGTATCCACTGATTCAGTATCCACAGTTCAGTTATCCACAGTTTACTGTGGCCCAAAAATACCTCGTAATTTTGCATAATAATGTCCCCAAAGTGCAAAAGTAGAAAAGCTGGCAGTTCTTCAAAGCCTAAGAGAAACCATGAAGTGCTTCCCATCAGTGAAAGAGAGATAATTCTCCACTTGTTGTTCATAATTTATCAATTAAACTTTAATAGGTATGTATAGGACTTACATATAGGGTTTGCTACTATCCACGGTTTCAGTATCCACGGCAGATCCTTGGAATGTATCCCCGTGGATACAGGGATCCTACTGTACTGGGCACAAAGATCTCTCTGAAATTCCCCATGTCCAGCAAAATCTCTACAAAAATTCAATGTACATAAAAGGGTCCAAAATCTGGAACTCTGCCAGAAAACTCCAGAGCCAGTCTCAGCCAGCATCCTTGAAACTACCGTTAAAAAACACCTTCTTTACCTAACATATCCCAGCATCAGCTAAATATGTGAAAACTACTTATCCATATTCTCAGTGTCACAAACATACATAAAACAGTATAATCTTATTCTTAACCCTGAAACTGTCCAAACATAGATCTATGTTTTTTCAACATTTGAAAGTATGTAAAAAAAGTAGATCTTTTCTTTTTTTACATTTGAAAACGTGTAAAAAGAACTTTGATCTACTTTTTTATATATATATATATATATTTGAAAATATGTAAAAAAAACGTAGATTTACTTTTGGAGCACTACGCATGTGAACATAGATCTGCTTGGACAGTTTAAGGGTTAATATCTGTAATCTTCTCAACCATTAAAACATTGTGTCCCCTTTACCTCTAATCATAATCACACTTGTAATTCCTTAAACAATTAAACTTGATAGAAGCTATATATTTTTTTTTTTTTTTTTCAACAAGTCGGCCGTCTCCCACTGAGGCAGGGTGACCCAAAAAAGAAAGAAAATCCCCAAAAAGAAAATACTTTCATCATCATTCAACACTTTCACCACACTCGCACATTATCACTGTTTTTGCAGAGGTGCTCAGAATACAACAGTTTAGAAGCATACAAATATAAAGATACACAACATATCCCTCCAAACTGCCAATATCCCAAACCCCTCCTTTAAAGTGCAGGCATTGTACTTCCCATTTCCAGGACTCAAGTCCGACTATTTGAAAATACATAACCGGTTTCCCTGAATCCCTTCACTAAATATTACCCTGCTCACACTCCAACAGATAGTCAGCTCCCAAGTACCATTCGTCTCCATTCACTCCTATCTAACACGCTCATGCACTCTTGCTGGAAGTCCAAGCCCCTTGCCCACAAAACCTCCTTTACCCCCTCTCCAACCCTTTCGAGGACGACCCCTACCCCGCCTTCCTTCCCCTATAGATTTATATGCTTTCCATGTCATTCTACTTTGATCCATTCTCTCTAAATGACCAAACCACCTCAACAACCCCTCTTCTGCCCTCTGACTAATACTTTTATTAACTCCACACCTTTTCCTAATTTCCACACTCCGAATTTTCTGCATAATATTTACACCACACATTGCCCTTAAACAGGACATCTCCACTGCCTCCAACCGTCTCCTCGCTGCTGCATTTACCACCCAAGCTTCACACCCATATAAGAGTGTTGGTACTACTATACGTACTTTCATACATTCCCTTCTTTGCCTCCATAGATAACGTTTTTTTGACTCCACATATACCTCAATGCACCACTCACCTTTTTTCCCTCATCAATTCTATGATTAACCTCATCCTTCATAAATCCACCCGCCGACACGTCAACTCCCAAGTATCTATATAGCATGTATTAACCCTTTCAGGGTCCGTCCCGTAGATCTACGGCTTTACGTTCAGGGTCCAAACCGTAGATCTACGCCATGAGCTCAGCTCACTCTGATAAACTGTGAGTGGTACATTTGGGCCTAGATATGAGAGAATACATCTATGTGGTATGTGTGCACCACATAAAACAGATCCTGCAGCACACTGTGTATAATGAGAGAAAAAAAATGAAATCATGATTTTTCGATTAAAACAGCAACTTTGCAGTGTTTTTTCGTATGTTTTTTATAGTTGTATTTGCGATTTCTTGGTCTCATTTGATAGAATGGAAGACATATTACAGAAATAGAGATGATTTTGATTGGTTTTAGCACTGGAAATGGCTTGAAACTGAGCTCAAAGTAGCAGAAATGTTAAATTTTTGCCGATATTCAAGAGTAAACAAACGACCTCATACGTCTAATACACGTCAGCTGGTGGGTCTAATATACATTCACAAATATGGTGATGATATTTATACAATTCTCCATGGGGAAGTGGAACAGAATTCTTCCTCCGTAAGCCATGCGTGTCGTAAGAGGCGACTAAAATGCCGGAAGCAAGGGGCTAGTAACCCCTTCTCCTGTATATATTACTAAATGTAAAAGGAGAAACTTTCGTTTTTCCTTTTGGGCCACCCCGCCTTTGTGGGATACGGCCGGTGTGTTGAAAGAAAGATTTATACAATTATTACAGTATTGCATAACAGTAAATCTTCTATTTTTTGGTGTGAATAAAAATTCATTATGTGAATAAAAAATCAAAATGGAATTTATTTGTAAAGCCTCAAAACATAACTAATGAACAGAGGAAATGTTAGTTTAGTGCCAGGAATGCCTACATTGTTTATTCTGGACCCTATTTTGAAATTGGAATATTTCGAACTTTGTGTTAAATTGGCCAAATTAACAATTTCCGATCACTTTATTTTGTAGTTGAAACAGTTGACTTGGCGATTTCTTGTGCTCAATCGATAGAATAGAAGTAATACTAGTGAAATAGCTAAGAATTTGGTTGATTGGAATAATGTAATTGGCCTAAAATGGGAGTCAAAGTCGGCAAAATCGCCGATTCGTAAATATCGCTGACACATCAAAATTCGCGAGAGCATAATTTCGTCAATTTTCCACCAAATTTCGTACTTTTTGTTTTATTACTTTCACAAAAAGATTCTCTACGATTTCATAAGAAAAAATAACAATTTTTTTTTTTTAAATTCTTGGACACTGGTGCGTGACTCCAGATTTGGGCCTTGGACCCTGAAAGGGTTAATAGGATATTCATTGTAGTACTAATAGGATATTCATTGTAGTACTAATGATATATTCATTGTAGTACTAATAGGATATTCATTGTAACTCTTAAATTTATATTTACAATCACCTAAGAGAGTGTATAAAGCCACTCAACTTGTCTTTGCCTTATTACTCTAAGTTAGTCTTAAGTTTGCCTGAAATGCTCTGCATATTAAGGGGCTTTCTGCATGCACACCTAAATGTCATTCACCTTTGTACAAACATTGTATCATGCTGAAATAAAATATCTTATCTTATGGTTGTGGCTATGATTTTATTTATTAAAGTTGAGTAGTGTATAGAAATGAGAAGTAGTAAGACCTGGGTATCTGCCTAGGTGAACATTATACCATGATTAACTTTATGGGCTTTTTAATATACGTACTACAAGATTTTTTTCTAACTTGTTCTGAATGTTATTTATGTCTACATGTGGTATATAGTGTGCAAGTAATTTTAATTGAACAGTTTTTCAAGAAATTATATTTTATTGCTTATGTATAAGTGTAAACCTTTCCATATATGGAGCATAGAATAACCAATTGATTCATTATTGCTCACGTTCCACATGCCTCCTCTTATAAGTCAAAATACTTTGTAAACTGAACAGTTTCCTTTTTCAGACTGTATTTCCAGATCTTTTAACAGTGTCCTCAGAAGCCCAGAAGATGAATTGATGCAAATCCCAAACTGCACAGACAATATGAATGGTTATTAATACCCTTAAACTGTCATAATGTAGATCTTCATTTTTTCAACATTTGAAAGTATGTAAAAAAAAGTAGATCATCTTTTTTTTTTTTTACATTTGAAAACATGTAAAAAAACTTTCATCTACTTTTTTTTTTATACTTGAAAATATGTAAAAGAAACGTAGATCTACTTTTGGAGCACTATGCATGTGAATGTAGATCTGCTTGGACAGTTTAAGGGTTAAATAAGCTTTGGGTTTGCCTTTTTTTAATAATATAAGACCATGAAGTTTCCATATGTAGCATATATTTTCCTTAAACATTATGTAGGCAAAAAATCAAAACTAATTTTTTTATTCAAATTTTTTTATTTTGATTGAAAGACTTTAAATATGACTGAGAATATTCCTGCCATGTTAATCTTTAATTTTAAGTGAAAAATGCTTCATTATATGATCAGTTCCTTTATATGTACAAAAAAAATAATATTTTAGGACCAAATTTTCATGGAAATCCAAGAGACTGGCTAATAAAAATTATTCAGTATAAAATTGTAGTCGTTAATCGAATAGAACATAAGAACATAAGAAAGGAGAAAATTTTTGATGTAGAAGTTGGCCACAGTATAAATATAACCAAATCAATAACTACAATATTAGTATGGGGAAACATTTTCTTCATAACTGTACTTGCAGTATTCACATCTCTTAAACGTACGTATTTATAAAATGTGTTAGTCTTTTATATGAGTAACTTGTGTGAAGTATTAATACAGTATTACACTAGGCATGGATAACTGAGATGTTGACTATTCTGCAGATGATGGCCGCACTAAGCCACACCCTAAGCCCAGAAAGCTCAAGAATGGCAAGATGTCCATCGTTGAACCTTTACCAGAGCCTGAGGAATACAGTTGTTTATTACGAGCCAAAACCAAGGATAAGAAGATTAGTACAGTGGTAATATAATGGGCCTTTTAAGTAATTACCTATTGTAGCTACAGAAACAATTATGTTCATAGTGTTCTATCCACAATAATTATTTCATTATACAGTGGACCCCCGCCTTATGAACGCATCGCGTTACGTTAAATCCGCCATACGAAGCATTTGAACGCAAAAATTTTTCCTCGCCTTACGTCCCACGTGTGGCCTCAGCGCCAGTGTTTACAAGCCAGCCAGTGTGGTTGCATCTACCCATACATTCGGTACATTTCACATCATCCCATGTTTTTAGTGCTTGTAACTGCAAAATAAGTCACCATGGACCTCAAGAAAGCTTCTAGTGTGGTAAAAAGGGTGAGAATTAGTATGGAATTGAAAAAAGAGATTAAGGAAATGTGTGCAAAGTGGGTTGAACTGCAGACCTTTATGGATGAAAATCACCCTGACACAGCTACTGCAAGCCGTGTTGGCAACCTGTACAATGACAATGTTATGGCCCATTTTAGGAAAGTCTTAAAGAAACGGGAGGTACAGAGCTCTATGGACAGATTTGTTGTGCAACAGAGGTCCGGCAAGACTCAAGCTGGTCCTAGTGGCACTAAAAGAAGGGAAGTAACCCCAGAAAAGGACTTGCTACCTCAAGTCCTAATGGAAGGGGATTCCCCTTCTAAACAATAACTTCCACACACTTCCCTCCTCCCATCCCATCAATCATCACCGGATCTTCAATAAAGGTATGTGTCATGTATTCTATTCTTAGTAGAGTAGTAATTGTAATTGTCTTCTTCAGTTTGTGTGTATTAAAATTAATATTTCATGTGGTAAAAAATAATTTTTTTCATACTTTGGGGTGTCAGGAACGGATTAATTTGATTTCCATTATTTCTTATGGGGAAAATTAATTCGGCTAACGATAATTTTGGCTTACGATGAGCTCTCAGGAACGGATTAATATCGTAAGGCGGGGTCCACTGTATTAGTTTTTAAATTTCGAATTATTATACTGTAGCACTTGTTGGTACTAGATATCTCTTTAATTCATTCCATTGGTCTGCCAGTCTTTGCAAACAAAGATTTTCTAGTATCACTTCGACTCCAGTTTTTCTTAGATAATAAACAAGAAACCATTGGAACAAAATGTAGGAAAAATATGATTTCTAAAGATAAAACATATATGAATGAACTTAAATTGGACACGTATTAATGTGTGTTTATTTTGCCTGACAGTGTGATCGCCCGCCACCCATTCAGTTTGTTTTTATATTGTCTGAACTCCGTGTATCTCATTCTCTCTCGTTTACTATTTCATTAACTAGTTGGCTCTTGTTGATGATGGCATCTAGGCTTAGTTGTGATAAAAAGATTAGTCGTAAGCCTCTTACTTAAAGTGCCAAGTTAGAAATGATTAATCTTAGTGAACTGAAGTTTTTGGGTTATCCTAGGTTCTCTACACACTTTTTTTTTTTTTTTTTTTTTTTTTTTTCAACAAGTCGGCCGTCTTCCACCGAGGCAGGGTGACCCAAAAAAGAAAGAAAATCCCCAAAAAGAAAATACTTTCATCATCATTCAACACTTTCACCACACTCGCACATTATCACTGTTTTTGCAGAGGTGCTCAGAATACAACAGTCTAGAAGCATAAACATATAAAGATACACAACATATCCCTCCAAACTGCCAATATCTACACACATGTATGATAATCTATTTGTGTATGCCTGAACAAACTTACTAACAAGGTATGTCAGTGTCTGAGACAGCCATCAAATACAGTTACATATAGCAGCATAAGTGTAAAGAACCTATGATAACCCAAAAAAGTCAGACAAAGCGACTTATTGCTGACATGGAAAAACTTTTTCACTGCCACTCACCTCTCGTGCACTCATATTAATATTTTAGGGTAAGTAACAAGTGTACAGTGTGTGTATTTTACTTTTTATTGTGTTTTTTAATGCCTAGTTCTATTGCTAACTTAACAGGTTTACACTAACATATATTATCTAGCTTTTATATGCATTTATAAGTGGAAAAAAGGGTGTTCCACTTTACAGTGATTTCCACTTCACGGCTGTAGCCTGGAACCTAACCTGCCATATAAGTGGGGCCCTACTGTATAGTATAATATTTTATGTTCATATACTAGTGATATTTTTTTTTTTTTTTTTAAGAAAAATTCTAGTTTTTGACTGTTTACATTTTATTCTGTAGGTTTCGGCTTCCGATGCTCTGAGGTTCCAGCTTCAGTTCGCCCAGTTCCTTCGCTCAAATATGGATGGCCTTAAGAAAGAGAAGAAGGCTAAGAAAAAAGTCAAGAAAGCTACTCAGTAAATATGTAAAAAGAACCTAGATATTATTTATGGAAAGGTGTTAAGGTGGAAATAAATATGGCTACATAATCTGCAGAGGAGGGCCACACTGCCAGGATGAGTTTGGGTTGGTCATGGGCATACCTTCCATCCAATGTCATGGAATATCTTGGAAAAGGACATGTAATATTTTGGTAACAGTGATGCACGAGTTGATTTATGATATTCACATGTAGGTGTAAAGTCCAGATTTTGTATGCCTTGCAGCCAAATTATATGAAAAAATAGTTTGATTCACTAATGACTGCTGATGGTATATAGAGTTGGCAAGTGCAATTTAAGCCTTTTTGGGTAGATAAAAATCTAAATCTGTTTGATTGTATTTAATTATATATTTTAAAGCTAAATGAAAAAATATGAATAGACTTATGAAGTGAGTGATTCATGTTTTGCTTTATAACCCTCTGATATTATATTAAGTGACCTCAATTTTTTTTTTATTACCATTAATTTTAACAGCTGTCACTGCCAACGTTATATTGATTTTACTCATTTTTATGGTTTACCATTTTAATGTGCCAACATAAATGTGGCTGCAATGTCATATGCTTGCCATACCTGTTTGAATAGACTTCTGTGGTGTGTTACTTCAGTGTTTTTCTGGTAGCTGCTTTGATATTCTTATAAAAATCCAATATACAAACTTGTTAATCATTATTGCTGCTAATGAATAAAACATGTGCAACAATTGGGTATCTGTACTGCCAAATTATTATTATAATCAGAACTAAGTGCTAAACCCACAAGGGTCATACAACTTTGCTCTATTGCCAAAATGCATTACATGCACAACAACGTATCAGTCAAATACTGGCGACAGCGGAAGCAGTAGTTTTGAGGTGATCAGTCCCTCAGCCTTGGTGAAATGATACAGTATTGCTACTGTTTATTAAGCGAGTTAAATAGAGAATATACTTGGGAGTGGTGTATCAGGACTATGAAGATTATATTCATTCATAAAATAACTGAAAATTCAGATTTTTATAAGGCAATGTTAAAAGGTAAATAATTTAATTTCAGAACAGAAATTACCCTGGCTTTCATATTACATTATTTTGCTTGCCTAATCTTATCTACAAGTTCATTTCATGGGTCAGTCTCTATTCACTGCTTTCATTTGGTATGCATGCTTCAACAGAGCTTGTTTTATGTCAGTATGGGGGTTCTTGATCAAAGGAGCTGGACCAGTTCTCCCCTTGGATCAAACAGTCCCCATGGGTTTAGCACTTACCCCTAAATTTAATGATAATTGGTATAAAAAGTGTATAGCAGTGTCCTTGAAACACCTTGCACAACTCATTTACACACCACAAAATGCTATTATCTAGAGGTAAATACATTAAGTTCATCTTTAGCCCTTTTTTTCACTTATCAGTGCAGTGCTGTACAACCCTTTTGGGTTTAGGACTTAATCTGATCATATTCACTTTTTAGTTCCTTTTGTCTATACAAATGAGATTGATCATATTTCATAAGTTCTAGCATGGACTTTACAGATCGAGAAAATTGTTGCAATAGTCTTGCAGAGCATTTAGTGATGTGCAAGTTTAGCACTGCATTTGTATTTTTCTTTTTATCTACCAATGAAGGTTACAGCTTGACTAAGTTGCTACACTACTGTAAAACTGAGCTGCTGTAAAAGTGACCTGGACTGTGTATGAAGCACATCTGGGGTGCAGCTCATGTCTTTGTATGCCACAGTATGTCCTGAGTATATAATGTGGTGTTGGAAAGGTATCGCTCTTTATGACTATAAAATGTTATCCCAGCTCTGGCACTTTGTATCAAATGGTGCTGCTGCATCATAGTGAAGAATCAAAAATTTGTTTTCACATTTTATATTTGGGTACTTTTCCTGGAGCTATCTTCCTTATTGATATTTGGTATCTTTGAATATTTTTATTGCTGTTTAATAAAAGAATGGTTATATAATTGTCTAGTTTCACTTGTTAAAATCCTTGATCCATTAATTTTGGGTTCAGTAATTGTAGTATATTCACAGGTATTGCCATAGCAACACCAAAACTATTTGAAAAACTTTTAATTTTTTATACAGTAAGAAATACTTTCAAATTTATTATAGTATGTTTTAATTAAAATCTAAGAATCATGTCTGAAAAACACATTTAAATGTAGCTACCAGGAAACAGCCTCTCAATGCTCTTAATCTAAGGAATTGGACTTTTGCTCCAAATCCTTTAATCAAGCCTGAATGCCATCCATTTACCCAGGTGCTGCATGACTTGTGGATTTAGCACTCCCCATGAGTAGAACATGCCAGTGAGGGGGCTCTTGATCTAAGGAATTGGACTTGTTCCCTACCCTGGATTAAGCCTAATTGCCTCCCATTACCCTAGGTGCTGTATGACCTGCTTGTTAGCAGCCTATATTCTGTATGGATTGAGAACTCCAATGACAGCGTAAGTTGTGCCCATGACTAGTGGTAGTGGCATCAGTTGTTGTTAGGACCTGGGCTCAATCCCGACATGTTGAAAACAGGCATGTTTTCTTACACCTGTTCACTTAGTGCTAAGTTTCCAAGGTGTTAGCTGACTTGTGGGTCTTATCCTAGGAAAATGGATTACAGGACCCCAAAGGAAATGAGTCAGACAGCTTTCTATTATCCTGGGTTACTAACTCCCCTTAAGGAAGGTTCAATGATGCCAGTAAGGGGTTCTTGATCCAAGGAACTGGACCCATTCCCTTGGATTGAATCTACCTCCTAGTCCCCTTTGTGCTGTATGATCCCTGTGGGCCTACTATATAGCGACCATTGCAGAAAGTGTCCTTAGTAAATAATAAAAAAAGAAGTGCTAAACCACAAGGGCCATACAGCACTGCAGGGCAGGGAAGGAAGCGAGAGTATCGGGTGGCAAAGGGAGAGGGATGATTAGTAGGTTATGGAGGACAGCGGGGCAGGGGTAGAGGGTAGCAAGAGATTGAGGTATAAAGGGCTGAGGGGAGTGCTAAAGGCATCATCATCAATTTGTGGAGTAAATCAGTTGTTGTCAAAGTCCGGTCTTGTCTAACTAATTTATTAACTTTCTTCAGTAAAGCTTTTGAGGCTGTTGACCACGATAAAGAATTTGATATTATTTACTTAGATTTTAGTAAGGCTTTTGATAGAGTTCCACACCATAGACTGTTAAAGAAAGTGGCAGCTCATGGCATTGGGGGAAAAGTGCTGTCATGGATCAAGTCAGGGCTCACTGACAGGAAGCAGAGAGTGTCCATAAATGGGGTTAAATCCGAGTGGGGATCTGTAACAAGTGGCGTTCCACAGGGATCAGTCTTGGGCCCGTTGTTGTTTATAATTATATCAATGATCTTGATGAGGGAATTACTAGCGATATGAGCAAATTCGCCGATGACACAAAGATAGGTAGGATAATTGATTAAAACGTAGATGTTATGGAACTTCAGGAGGATTTAAACAAACTCTATTCTTGGTCAGAAAAGTGGCAGATGCAGTTCAATGTAGATAAATGCAAGGTTCTGAAGCTTGGGAGTGCCCATAACCCTAGTACTTATAAGTTAAATGATGTAGAACTTAGCCATACAGATTGCGAAAAGGACTTGGGGGTTAAGGTGAGCAGCAACCTTAAACCAAGACAGCAATGCCTAAGCGTACGTAATAAGGCAAATAGATTACTGGGATTTATATCAAGAAGTGTAAGCAACAGAAGTCCAGAGGTCATACTGCAGCTTTATACATCATTAGTAAGGCCTCACCTAGATTATGCAGCTCAGTTCTGGTCTCCATATTACAGAATGGACATAAATTCGTTAGAAGACATTCATCGTAGGATGACTAAATTAATACATAGCATTAGAAATCTTCCTTATGAAGAAAGATTGAAGACTCTTAAGTTACATTCACTTGTTAGACGAAGAATGAGGGGAGACCTGATCGAAGTGTATAAGTGGAAGATAGGTATTAATAAAGGGGATATTAATAAGGTCTTGAGGATGTCTCTCCAAGAGAGAACCCGCAGTAATGGATTTAAGTGCATGGTTATGATGATAGTAAGTGACGTGGTTAAAATATGCCTTCACTAATATATTCAACATACAGTGGGCCCCTGCTTTACAATCACCTCCCAATGCGATCAATTATGTACGTGTATTTATGCAAGTGCATTTGTACGTGTAAATTTGGGGGTCTGAAATGGACTAATCTAATTCACAATATTCCTTATGGGAACAAATTCGTTCAGTACTGGCACCTGAACATACTTCTGGAATGAAATATCGTAAACCGGGGGTCCACCGTACTTGAATGTTGGAGTGTGAGCAGGGTAACATTTAGTGAAGGGATTCAGTGATACCGGTTATTTTTATATAACCGGACTTAAGTACTGGAAATGGGAAGTACAGTGCCTGCACTTTAAAGGAGGGATTTGGGATATTGGCAGTTTGGAGGGATATGTTATATATCTTTATAGTATATGCTTCAAATTGTTGTATCTGAGCGCCTCTACAAAAACAGTGATCATGTACAAGTGAGGTGAAAGTGTTGAATGATGATGAAAGTATTTTCTTTTTGGGTATTTTTTTTTCTTTCTTTTTGGGTCACCCTGCTTGGGCAGGAGGCAGCCGACTTACTAGGGGGGGGGGGGGAAATTAATGAATCTGAACATATTTTTGCTCAAGTCACCACAAACAATAATAATAAAAATAATCTAATAACAATTGGAGCAATTTAGAGAATGCATCACACCAAGACACAGGACTCTACAAGTGCAGCAAAAATAATTTAATAATTGCTGCAAACTAGCATAAGCCTTGTTGGCTACATAACCTTTATCATGCTTCCTAAATACATATTTTTGGCTCCTAATACCTTGTCACAACACCCACTAGAAATGCTGACACATCTGCTCTTCTTCATCAGTTTTTTTTTTAACACGTCGGCCATCTCCCAGAGGCAACGTGACCCATAAAGAAAGTTCAAAAAAAAAAAAAAAAAAAACTTTCATCATTCAACACTTTCACCCTCATACATAATCACTGTCTTTGCAGAGGCGCTCAGATATGGCAGTTTAGACGTCCCTCCAAACTGCCAATATCCTTAGTAAACCCCT